TACTTGTTCCTGGAATGGCACTTCTTTTTCCTTCCCCGCTTAATGGATCTTCATCATTAGGCAGGACAGTACACTGTGAACATTTTGAGGTTTAACAAGATAATTATTCTCATCCATCTGCATTTTCTAGAAGAACAAACGGAAGGAAGGAAGTCATTGTGGCAGATGGACAGATGAGAGAGGCAAAAAATTACCATGAAACTGACAGAGGAGGGACAGTCGCATTCTGGTGACAAGACTGAACGATCTATAAACAACGAAATTACTCAGATTCGGGCTGTTTTTGTTGCCTCTGTCAATCAAGCAAAGAAAGTGTGTTGTCTTTGTGACAGATATGGAAAGAACATGTAGGTGTACTGACAAGTGTATTGGGGATGTGTTGTTTTTCTAAACCCATACGCACTAAAATTATCCAGGGTAAAAATGTTTTATAGAGAGGGATTGACATTAAGTGTAGTTAAAAGTCAGGCGGATTGTTTGGAAGCAGTAAAGCAGGCCAATGATAACTGTTTTTGATGAATAAAATGGGCTGTTTCCCACAACTGCTACAGGACCGGAAGTCTTTTTGCAACCAGAAGTATAACAATCTGGCTGTTCATCCACCCATCCACCTTTGCTTATTCAAGCCTGAGTCATGGAGGTAACAGTTCCTTTAGTAACCTCCTTTTCCCGGCTAACAAGGTGTTCTCAACCCTCCTGAGAGATCTATGCAAAAAGCAGAAACCAGATCCTGAGAAAGTGCAAACCTTCCATCACTCAGTTACTCTGATAAAATGGCATTCATTCCCCTTTGCATACCTTTTTTGAACAGAACTGGTGACAAAAGGCAGCCTTGGTGGAAATCAACACAACTGGGAATGGCCTGTAGCAATATACCCCTACTATATACCCCACCCCAAGATACCCCATACTCTCAAAACACCCCAACACACCCACATACATGCTCAAGGGGATAAACAGTTTATCCGGCATTCTGGATAGGACAATAACCAGATTGTTCCTCCTGAGTCCGAGGTTTAACTAATGGATAGACTCTCTTCTATAGGACTCCGGTACAGATCTTCCTAGGGAGGCTGTGGATTGTGATCCCCCTTTAATTAAAGCACACTCTCTGTTCCACCTTCTTAAAAAGGCAAACCATCCAATGGTCTGCCAATCCAGAGGGATCGTGCCAGATCTCTGTGCAAGGATGGGTCAACCAAGACAACCCCACAACATCAAGAGGGTTAAGGAACTCAGGCTGAATCTCATTGACCCCAGGGCCCCTTCTACTTGGGTGGATGAGAGTTGTTTAACTATCTCAGTGACATCACCCCTAGTGATGGATAAGGTACCCCCCACATTCCTAGAGTGCTTCCTCTATGGAAGCAGTTGCATCCAAGTATTCCTTCCAACACCCAACTATATCCACAATGGAAGTCAGCAGTGCTCCATCCCCGCTGACCAGATGATTTTCACCTCCCTAGTCATCTGATGGCTTGCCAGAATTTCTTTGAGGGCAGCCAAAAGTCCTGCTCCAGGGCCTTAAACTCCTCACACACCCAAGTTTTTTTTATGAAGGTCCATGCTGGTTATTTGGGATGTGCCTGACGAGGCCCAGCAGACAAAGGCCAGGTAACCAGGCACTCTCTCTAAACCCTTTAAAGACCAATCACCTGCAAAGTTAAAATTACCAATTACTGTTTGGCATGTAGTTGGCAAATGTTTGCAGACATTTTCCAGCCCATTCTCACTCCCGAGGCGTAATATATTGACGATTTGTCA